CATCAGGGCTGGTCTGAGTTTCAGATGGGGGGGTTACCGGGGGTGTGTGGCACAGCCTTTAATAACATATGATGTTAAATTTTCAATTTATCAATACAGATAACTAACTCATATGTAACTTTCTAATTGTAATTATAAATGAATTGTATATATTATAATTTAACGTGCGCGTGTGTGTATGTGTATATATATATATATACATACATACATACATACATATATACATATATATGTGTGTGTTTGTTTGTTGATATGTCTCTATTCTCTTTAGTGTCACTTCTGATTATGTATGTATGAATGTGTATATAAAAATAGAGATATATATGTTGAGTGTCATGACGGTGGCAAAGCAGCTGTGATGCAGAATTTTTATAGCATTTAAGAACAAAAGCCTAAAGTCTAGCACTGTTCTTTTGCTGACTTGCGAGAACTGGTATTTCTTTAATTAATGCAAATCCAGTTAGCATTTATTCTTTGTTTCCAGCTCCCAGAAGCTCTTCTTCAGGAGAGAGATAAGAGGGCAAAATGGCACGGGATTCCAGTCTTACTCCAAGAGCTGTACGAGAGCAGCCACCTAAACAGTGACTTCACCCACACACACACTGTCCTGAAGGTGAGGTCTCTTTCTCTATTCGCTTCTTTCAGTCTGCTATATTTACTTATATCTTACAAACAGGTTTATAGCCTCTTGATAACTGTATTTCATTATGTGCTTAATTGTGGTGTTCTGATACAGGAACTGTCATCCCTGCTGTCTATGGAGGCCATGTCTTTTGTGACAGAGGACAGAAAGACGGCACAGGAGTCCACCTTTCCCAACACATACACCTTTGGCCTGTTTGGAGGTGTAGATGTGAGTGTTAATATAATTCCTAAATGTAAAAAAACAACAACAATTCAACTTGTTTACACATAGTTCAAGGAAAACATTGACAGACTCACAGAATCTGTAGGTGCAGAATTCTGAAGAAAGCTCCAAAGAATTTGGAACAGATGTTTTCCACAAAGTTTATAACAAGTTTTTATACATATACATATATACATAAACTTAATTTTGTTTTGTGTTATCTATCAGTATGAGGGTAGTGTTTATTTGTTAGTGTGCTGCAGATGTTTCACCCTAATTAGCCTAGAAAGAGTCTAAAGAGTCCGTCTGGTTTTGAACATGGAAAATATTTTTTCAATGACATGCAGTAAATAAAATTAACTTTTGTTTATTCAATGGATATGTAATTGGCAGATTCATTTATTTATCAACATAGATGTTAGTTGCAGCCATAGATGAGTTCATTGACTGATTGTTTGTTTGTCATCTTAGCTGCTGGTGGAGCTTCTGATGAGACCCACTCTGACTACGCTACAAAAACCCAAGAGTAAGTTGACTAGAGATTTTATGGAGATTCACGAACAATAATTATTTATTTTGGAATATAAAAATATATTTATATGAAATAAAAAGAACAGTAATGATATTTTATGTGCACTTATTTTAGTAACCATTGATATGTTTTTATGTCTGTCATCAACAGATGTATAAATTAATCTTTCTTAATGTCATTTTTAAACGGCTTGTAGTGAACGATGACTTGGTGAAGGACTGCCTTAGTGTGCTGTACAATTGCTGCATATGTGTATGTATTCAGCCTTCCTTCTCATTTAGAAATTGAACACAAGCATGACTAATATCCACATGATCAGTTCATGAGTTCAATAAGTGCACATGTTTTCTTGCAGACGGAAGGAGTCACAAAAAGCTTGGCATCGAGGGATGATTTTGTGTTATTTCTCTTCACGCTGATGACAAACAAGAAGACCTTTTTGCAAACAGCTACGTTAATTGAGGATATTCTTGGAGTCAAAAAGGTCAGTGCTAATATTATATATCTGCAACTACAACCTTAATTTCCTTAGTTAGAAGCTGTTAATACATTTTAATGCCCCTGGATTTGTCATGTTGACACTATGGACAGGCTTAAAATCCATTGTGAAGATTACGAATATTTGTCTTATCTAAAAAAATTTAAAAAACACCTGATAATTAGTGGCGATAATCATGTTGGATATGTAACCCCTAATATCTGACGGTGATTAATGATGGTTCATAACAGGAGATGATTCAGCTGGAGTGGATCCCAAATCTGTCAGGACTGGTTCAGAGCTTTGACCAGCAGCAGCTCGCCAACTTTTGTCGTATCCTCTCCGTCACCATCTCTGAGCCAGATGTGGGGAACGATGACAAACACACACTCCTGGCTAAAAATGCACAGCAGAAACGCAATACCAGCCCCTCACGTGCCGAGGTCAACCAGGGTAGGTGGTCTACAAAATGTGACTTTACTTAGAGCTAATGCCACAAAGAACAGTAAAGTAGTGATGGAGGATTTGTGGAGAATAAGGTCATTGCTAAAGGGAAATTACAGCTTTTTGCATTCAGTACACTGCTACTTTCCAGTGTGTATAAATGTAGAGTACTTCTGGCAGGGATTTATTCAGGGTTAGGGTTAATAGGGCATCAATAATGAAAACATAATGAAATATTTTCCAGTCACACTCCTGAACATCCCCGGCTTCATTGAGCGTCTCTGTAAGTTGGCCACACGGAAGGTGTCCGAGGCAACTGGAACGTCAAACTTTCTGCAGGAACTGGAGGAATGGTACACTTGGCTCGACAACACTCTAGTGCTGGATGCGCTCATGCAGATAGCAACAGATGAAGCCGAGCACAGTAGCACAGGTACGACCGCTACAGCACACTGTGTCACAAAGTCAGGTGTGCACTGGCAGCAACAAAGGAAATAACAATTGAATGAGAAATTAAATGTTAATTGAGAATTTTAGTGATTGGTTATGTTTATGCAGAATATAACATGTTCATTTCTTTCCATTTTAAAATTCCACCTAATATTTTTGCTTTTTTTTTTTCCCCCTAAAGAGACAATTTTACCACTTGTATACACTACAAGATGTTTAAATGTTTTTGAAAGAAGTCTCTTACAAAGGCTGCTTTTATTTGATCAAACATACAGTAAAAACAGTAATATTGTGAAATATTAAAAAAATGTTTTCTTTTGAAATGTAATTTATTCCTGTGATGCAAAGCTGAATTTTCAACAGCCATTACTCCAGACTTCAGTTTCACATGATGCTTGAGAAATCATTCCATTCTTATTTATTGCTCAAGAAGCATTTTTTTTTATTATTATCACTGATGAAACCAGTTTTGCTGCTTAATATTTTTTTTCTGGAAATGTTAATACATTTTTATAGGATTCTTTAAAGGGTTAGTTCACCCCAAAATGAAAATTCTGTCATTAAGTATTCACCCTCACGTAGGGCTGGACAATAATTCAATATCAATATGTATCGCAATATAATTTTTTTCAATAATGGTGATATGATTTTTAAACACATTTCCGGTATTTCGATATACATTACCAGTGTTTCCCATACATTGATTTATTTGTGGCGTTTGACTTCGTTGAATAAACATGAGCACTGCACAAAACGCGTCGCGGGTGTTTTATATGAATGTATCTCTGAAGGGAACCGACTATCTTCAGAATAGTTTAGATGGCATTTTTATCTGATAAAGTAACGTTCATGTTTACAGCCATTACTGGAGAAACCGTTAGTTCCACCGCTCTCACAGCGCCTCCTGCTGGCAGACAAGCAGTTTGCACTTTCAATAATAAACCCATTTCCAGCAACATGCTTTTGTTGTTGCTCTATTTTTTTGTTTTCTGAAGCAACTCGGAGCATGTTTCAT